GCGTCCTGCTGCTGCACGCCCGGGGGCGGCCGCCCCCCCCTTGCACGTCCAGGTCCCGTTGCACGCTCATGTGCTGTCGCACACCCATGTCCTGCTGCACTTCCGGGTCCCGTTGCACGTCCCTGTCCTGTTGCACGCCCCGTTGCAGATCCTCTTGCACACGTGCGTCCTGTTGCACGCCCGCATCGCATTGCCTGTCCCGTTGCGGATGCTGTTGCACACCCGTGTCCCTGTCCTGTTGCACGTCCTGTTGCACGCCCATGTCTTGTTGCACGCCCAAGCGCTGTTGCACGCCCTGCGGCACACCTGCGCCCTGTTGCACATCCATGTCCTGGTGCGCATCTTGTTGCACGCCCACATCCTGGTGCACGTCCATGTCCCGTTGCGTGTCCAGGTCCTGTTGCACGCCCCGTTGCACACCTGTGTCCTGTTGCACGTCCCCGCCCTGTAGCATGTCCCGTTGCAGATGCTGTTGCACGCCCATGTCTCGTTGCACTTATAGGTCCTGTTGCACGTCCACGTCCCGTTGCACATCTTGCGGCATGCCTGGGTCCTGTTGCATATGCTGTTGCACGCCCATGCCCTGTTGCACGCCCACGCCCTGTTGCACATAGAGGTCCTGTTGCACACCCACGTCCTGTTGCACGCCCACATCCTGTTGCAGATGCTGTTGCACGCCCACATCCCATTGTTGCACGCATAGGTCCTGTTGCACGCCCGTGTCCAGTTGCGCGTCCACTTGCAGATGCTGTTGCACGCCCATGTCCCATTGCACATGTAGGTCCCATTGCACATCCGTGCCCTGTTGCACGCCCGCTTGCAGCTGCTGTTGCACGCCCACGTCCCATTGCACGCCCATGTCCCATTGCACATGTAGGTCCCGTTGCACATCCATGTCCTGTTGCACGCCCGCTTGCAGATGCTGTTGCCGGCTCACATCCTGTTGCGTGTCCGTGTCCCGTTGTCACACGTGTAGATCCCGTTGTCACACATGTAGATCCCGTTGCACATGTAGGTCCTGTTGCACGCCCATGTCCCGTTGCACATGTAGGTGCCGTTGCACGCCCGTGTCCTGTTGCGCTTCCACTTGCAGACGCCGTTGCCCGCTCACATCCCATTGTTGCACGTATAGGTCCCGTGACACGTGTTGTAGGTCCCGTGACACGTGTTGTAGGTCCCATGGCATGTGTTGGTCCCGTGGCACATGTCGTAGGTTCCGTGGCATGTGTCGTAGGTCCCATGACACATGTAGGTCCCATGGCACGTGTCGTAGGTCCCATGGCATGTGTTGGTCCCATTGCACACGTCGTAGGTCCTGTGACACACGTCGTATATGTTGCAGGTCCTGTGACACATGTCGTAGGTCCCATGGCACATGTCGTAGGTCCCGTGGCACGTGTTGGTCCCACGGCACACGTCATAGGTCCCGTGACAGACGTCGTAGGTCCCATGACACATGTTGTAGGTCCCATGGCATGTGTTGGTCCCGTGGCACATGTCGTAGGTGCCACGACACACGTCGCAGGTCCCGTGGCACACGTCGCAGGTCCCGTGGCATGTGTTGGTCCCATGGCACATGTCGTAGGTGCCATGACACACGTCGCAGGTCCCGTGGCACACGTCGCAGGTCCCGTGGCATGTGTTGGTCCCATGGCACATGTCGTAGGTGCCATGACACACGTCGCAGGTCCCGTGGCACACGTCGCAGGTCCCACGGCACGCGTCGCAGGCCCCGCGCCACACGTGG